GTTGCGTCGGTCTGCTGAGCGCATGTTCACTCGGACGGGTCAAAGCAGCCAGGCCGTTCGCCTTGGATCCATGCCAGGTGTCGTCCGTCCTGAATCCGACCCTATCGCGCTTCTGACGCTGCTCATCGGCCCAAGGATCCGCTTCATTCAACGCCGGGTTCAGGTGGCACTGTGCTGTTGCGTCTGAGAGCAAAGACTGTGGGATGCGACTGAGATTGCAACATCATCGTCAGGATCTGAGGTGGATAGAGCGAGGCAAGCCTGGCGGAAGGCGCAGAGAGGCAGCGGCATCATGGCTGGCGAAAGCCTAATCCAAACCAACCCCACGAGCTCATCCCGCGCCCTCCCTTTCGCCAACTTTGGCTCAGCCTCTTGCACGCTCGGCCGGTCGATCGTGCTTGCGTTGGGCCGCATCGTCGCATCGCCTCGTGCCTCCCCCACCGCCTTGGATGCGCACCCCCTCGAAAGAAATTGGATTCATCCGAAATACACGGTCGCCCTCGCTCCCCCCAAAAAGCCCGACTCTGCATCCCACGCCAAAACAATGAATGCCAAACCGGACGACACGCTCACAACATCGATCCGACCGAATCCATCCCGTTGCTCATCGCTCCTGGTCTCGTCTCGTCTCGTCTCGGCCGCGCCGCGCCGCGCCCGCTCGCTTTCGAATCGAATCCAAAGTCGACTTTGCATCAATATCCGGTGGACCTTCACCTCGCCCTCGCCCTCGCCCACGCCGCCCCTCCTGCTCAGCCTTCTGGCCCCCCAGACCCTCGCGGGAGCTTGGCTTGCATTGCATCGCTCCGCGCCGCCCCGTCTCGCCTCGCCTCAACGCTTCCGATCCCCGCTCGCCCCTCAAAATACGTATAAAGTAGCCCCCCTCGCCCTTGCGCGCCCCACTCCCCCTCTTCTCTTTTACAACCATCACCTCAAGCCAAACTCAACGTACGTGCTACCGCCATATCTCTTGCCACTCGGATGGTGTGCAATTTGATCCTCGTCATCCGCGAGCCTAAGCACGTCTGTTTGTGACTCGGATCGCTGACCTTGCACTCTGCTGTGTCTTTTCTCTCTTTCTCCTTTGGATCTGCTCCTCCGATGCTCTCGTGTCCTTGCTTGCTTTGGATGCCTGCTTTCCCGCTGCTGTATGGTGTTTGGCTCGTCGCTCCGGTCCCTGCTTCACTCCCCGACCCGTCGATCTCGCCTGCGCCTCTCACCTCGCCTCCGCCTCCTCGCCTCTGCCCCCGCCCTCGACCCGCGCGTTCTATTTTCCAATCCGCCGACCTCTCGCTATTTTCGCCAAATTTCCCGTACTGCTCTGGTGCCCGCCTCGCCCTTCCGCCAACCCACGTTGCATATCGCCCGCCCTTTTCCTCTGCTCTCGTGCCTCGCGGTGTGACATGCACCGTCACCGTCACCGCCACCTGCTCTGATCTGGTCATCATCTCGGACTCGTATGGTGTCACTCTTGTCCTCGATCCTCCTCTCGTCCCGGCATTTTTTCGGATCCGAATTTTCGCACAATTTCACGGCCCGCCACCGCTCTGCTGCGCATCCATCCGCTAACCGTGCCCGCTCGCTTATCCGCCCCTCTCTTCGGCATTGCCGGTATCGTTTTGACCACCACCACATCTGTCGCGTCGCCATCACCACCAATACATCGCGATCGCCATCGACCTCTCTTCATCGCCACCATCGACGACTTGACCCGTCTCCGTCCTCTGTGCTTGTTCAACACGCAACAGAAAGATGGCTCGTACCAAGCAGACAGCCCGAAAGTCCACGGGTGGTAAGGCCCCCCGTAAGCAGCTCGCCACCAAGGCCGCACGCAAGTCGGCCCCCGCCGCCGGTGGTGTCAAGAAGCCTCACCGCTACAAGCCCGGTACCGTCGCCCTGCGTGAGATTCGTCGCTACCAGAAGTCGACCGAGCTCCTCATCCGCAAGCTGCCCTTCCAGCGTCTTGTGCGTGAGATTGCCCAGGACTTCAAGACCGACCTCCGCTTCCAGTCGTCGGCTATCGGNCCGAGCTCCTCATCCGCAAGCTGCCCTTCCAGCGTCTTGTGCGTGAGATTGCCCAGGACTTCAAGACCGACCTCCGCTTCCAGTCGTCGGCTATCGGTGCCCTCCAGGAGGCTGCCGAGGCCTACCTCGTGTCGCTGTTCGAGGACACCAACCTGGCTGCTATCCACGCCAAGCGTGTCACCATCCAGCCCAAGGACATCGCCCTCGCGCGACGACTGCGTGGCGAGCGATCCTAAATGGGATCCACTTTGCAACTCTGATGGATGACGCCCGAGCATCTATCTGCTCGCCCGTCGCCAGCTCTGATGTGAAGATGTAACATTAGCCGTTGCTCGTTTCGCGTCGTTTGGTCCCGCTGTAGTTTCCCTCGTGTCTTTGTCTCGCTCGCTCTCTACTTCGCATCTCCCGCCCAGAGTCACAACGACCTGCGGGGCATCTTGTATACCTCTGCTCGAAGCGCGCATGCAATTCGTCAGTCTTTTTTTGATTCCGCTTTCGAGACTGCGACAAGTGTGAGCGGATGGGTGGCGTTTTTGTCGGTGAGAAAGGGCTGAGTCGAGTGACGGCGGGCGTGTGGGCGTGTGATTGAGGCGGGAGGGAAAAATCCAAATTTGGGAGAGTGTTGCGTCACTCTGGTGGGCGAGCGGAAGGAAGACACGCATTTGCGGGTCTCAGACGAGCGCCGCACCGGTTTCGGGCAGGCTCAGGGTGGGCCAAGGATGCGTGCACGGCTCGCTCGCACTCGTCAAACACGACATCACCACCATCACCTCTTCGCACACGGGCAGTTAGGAACGGCCATGGGGGTGTTCAATGCGCTGGTTAGCGGCTCGTTCTTGCCGTGGCGTCGAGCCAACCGCGAGACGGACTACGAAAGCGTGCTGGCTCGTCTCGAGGGCGAGATCAACGACGTGCAATCGCGTCTGACGCAGATCCGGCTGCGCGAGCGACGCGCCTCGGTCACCCTCACACTACAGGCCTTCCTGCTCTGGGCGATCTACACGGCAGTATGCTGGTTCTTTGGATTGCTTACGCTGCGACGTTCGCACTCGGACTCGGGACGTACGCGTGCGATGCTCGTCTGGCTCCCCGTGCTGGCTAGTCCCGTTCTGATCATCTCGACGCGCAGAATCGTTCGTTGGTGGTATCGTCGCATCGGAGCTGCTGAAGACAAGCACCTCATCGATCTGAGGAGGCAGAAGAGGGAAAAGGTGGACGAGATCAAACGCGCCACAAAGTACGACCATCTGCGCATGCTCTTGGACAAATACGACGAGGGGGGTCCCAAGCCAGCCGAGGCAGCCACGCCCGTCAAGCAAAAAGCGGGCTCCAAGTCAGGATCGCCTTCGTCCAAGCAGGGGACACCGCCTGCAGGAGCCAGCACAAGCACCCCGCCACATTCGGGCAACGTGCCTGCGCTGTCGACGCCCGAAGCGCACGCACTGCAGGCGCAGCGTATGGCACTCATGCGCCAACAAGGTGGTGTTGGCATCCCCGCCCCCGTCCGTCCTGCCGTGGTGCTGCAAAAGACATGGATGGACAAGGTGGCGGATGCGATCCTCGGAGCCGACCCCACCGCGACGGGGCCGGAGCAGAAGTACGCGCTGATCTGCGCACGCTGTCACATGCACAACGGCCTGGCGCTCAAGGAGGAGTTCCACGAAGTGCAGTACGTCTGTCCGCACTGCGGGCACTTCAACTCGCGCCGCCCCAGCTCGGCACCCGTCAGCTCGCCGTTCAACAGCACCGCCAACCGACCGCGCGCCTCGGACCCTGGTCCTGCGGCACATACGGTGGAGACGCCGTCTAAACCCAGCCGCACGCGCGACGGCGGCAGCAGACTCAAATTGCGCGCCGATGAGTCGGACGACGAGGACGCTCCGCCACACACCACGCTCCAGGACGAATCAAACCCCAAGGACGCGGTGAGCATCGATAGCGAAGAGCCCAAGGAGCCACGAAGATCGCTGCGCGCCCGAAAGTCGACGCAGCCCAAGGATGGCATGGACCTGGACGAGTAAGCCCCTGCGTTGCTGTTGGCACAACCACACTCTTGATTGGAGAATCACCAAATCGCAGTGGAAATGCAATTTCCCCTCTCTGACAGATGGACATGCACGCAGCTATGGGGGTCGGTCACTCGTATGCGTCGTCAAGGATCTGCTTGACGCCCTTCCAGTATTCGGAACCCTTCTTGTCCTCGCCCGTGACCTGGGTTGCGATTTTTTCGCACTGGTCCGCATCGACACCGGAGCTCTTGAGGGTGGAGTGCAGGCCGAGTTGATCGACCAGTTGCTGGATGGCGTCTGCGACCTGTTGCGCCTTGGTTCTCAGCTCTTGCTCTTGCGTCTTTGCCGATCCGGGCGTCGGGCCGAGGGGGGCTGGGGTAGGATTGAAAGGGGCGGGGATGAATGCAAGAGTGTCTGCTAGGTTCTGCAGATGGTGCAGAGGCGTGTCCTTGTAGGTGGCGGTGAAGCGGACGGCGCCGGCTAGGGTGATGCAGCTAGTGATGCCGTGCGAGATGGCGTAAGTGGCGCCGAGTTTGTGGCCCAAGCCATGGCTGAGGCCTAGGGCGCCCATGCGACTTTCGGGCCAGAGCGAGTTGAAGCAAGCCAGCTGGAGCTTTTGGCGCACCTCTACATCGTCTGGATTCTGCTTGGATACGGGCAGATAGGTGAAGAGTGCACGCACTGCGGCTTGGACACTCGGCGTCAGCAGCTGGTGTGTGTCGGGTCGGTACAGGAACTCCACCGCGTGGTCGAGAGCTCGAATGCCAGTTGAAAGCCACAGCCGTTCGGGCGTATCCATGGTCAACTCTGCATCGTACACAATCGCACGCGGGACGAGGTTCCTGGACGAAACACCGATCTTGTGTCCCTCGTCGGACTTGAAGCCTGCATTCTGCGTAGTCTCCGCCACACTTAGCGTCGTAGGCACTGCAATGGTCGGGATGAAAAGCTTGGCGTCCGTAAGCGCATTGCGCGCACTCTCTTCACCGTGCACCTCGCGGTGTCGGTAGAAGGATACCGCCTTGGCAGCGTCGATGGGCGACCCGCCACCAACGGCAACAATCACATCGGCATTGGAAGCCTTGATTCGCTCCACTGCTTCGCGGATCCCCGCAACAGGTGCATGCTCCCCAATGTCGTAGTACGTCTCGCCGCTGTAGTAGCCTTTGTCAGCAAGGATGCTCTGGATGCGTTCGATCACACGCGTCTTGGTCGCAAGACTCTTGCCCGTCAGGATAAATGCCTTTTTGTGCTGCAGGTTCAGCGACTCGATCGCAGCTGGCAGCGAGCTGGTCACACTGCCCGGCCCAAAGTACACCGCCTGCAGCAGCGTGTTGCGGTAAACGCCTGCAGGTGCAGCCATGTCGAAATCGATCCGGAGGGTACAGTGGACGGAGGAAGGTCAGAAAGCAGATGCGAAGGCTCGTTCAGTTGTCGAGCCGCTGTGATGATGGTCTGAAGCACCGGCTCAAAGGAGAGCAACGCGGGCTTCTTAGCTCCGGTCCGCTCGGCTGGCGTGCGGGGATATGACCAATCCACCTCGGCTCCTGCGCACCTCCTCCACAATCTTTCCCCCGCCGCTTCCATTTAACCGCCCGGTATTTAACCGCCCACTTCACCTCCGTCCTCAGTGTGCACACCTCGATTCGTTTGTTGTCAACAGCGTCTTGTTCAGCTCAAACCACAAGCTGAAGCTCTGCAATGCTGTGAGCTCAATTGTAGAAAGGCAAAAAAAAGAGGTGTTCCCGGCCGGGGAATCGAACCCCGATC